ATATATATATGGCAGGATATACTGAGTTGAAAGGTAATACGCGTGAATGGAGACCTTTGCTAGCCACGATGAGATGGGCTCGTTCGATCTTCTCCAGACTCCATTCCCTGCAGAATGGATGATAGGAGTCTGCGTTGGGCAATAGACCCGTTTTGTTGTCCACCTTCGTTTCCATGGCCTTCACGAATCTCGAGTAGGCCGGCATCTCCTTAACGCACCACAAGAGCCACGACTGAACACGCTTATTCAACTCGACTATCACGTCTTTCGCTAGTTTATGCAAGATGTCGCTGTGTTTGCTACCGGGAGCTGTACTGACTTCCTTCACGTTTTTGCAGGCACAATAATGGCTTTGAACCTGAGCCATGGCGCAGGTTCTACCTTTAGGCATTGGGGCGAACATCGTCAGGCCGGGTGGTAGGTTTTGTAGGACCGGAACTGTATCAAGGTCCATGATCTGTTTTCAACGACATACAATTTGGAACTAATTCAAGAATAAATACCCTTGAAAATTACTATGTTGTAAAATTACTAAAATATAACATTACATTCTGCCACTTATCTTACAAACCTAAATTGAGCGAGAGCACCGTCAAAAACCAACTATGATAAAGGGTCTAAAATTCAATTTATAGACCATTTCCTGATTCTAACGCTCAATTAATGAGCTAAACAAATGCAATTCTAATTAGGTTCCAACTAAATTTTCGTGTGATATGATGCACAAAAAGTTCGACTTTCTGTGATGGATGTGCGGTTTTGCTCGTATAAATGAAAACTAGTATTGAGTTCTTCTCACCGCAAAAAAAATCGGAGATTTCGGACCTTAATTTAATGCCAAAAAACATTCAAGAACATGTCTAATGTGCAGAAATATGCAGCAAATATTAAATTTTACAGCAATAATTTTTTAGGAATCTGGACTGTTGAAAAAATGTTAAAACTAATGTGCCAGCGATTCGTCCCGTGTCAATGTTTTTTTTTTCAGGTTCGGCAACAATTGGATTTAATGCTTCGCGAGTTGCCAACGTCGAATTTTCCGGAACTACTGCATATTGAATTCATGTAAATTTAAAATACTTGTTAATAAATAAATAAAGCAAACCAGACGTTAAAAAATAGCATAGCATAATAGCTTTAGAGACTTGCCTACTTTGCAAATCCAATAGATCAAGAGGGTCTTGGATGATGTTCTACAGATCACATGTGAGTAATTGGAATCAAGCAGATTGGCAAGAAAGAAAGACTTTCAAAATTAGTACCTGCAAGCTAAGAAGACTTTTGATAGTGTAGTGAAGATCCAGGGTAGTCACAAGCCGTTTTGAATTGACCAACAGATTTTCCCAGGCCTTTGGAAATTTAGTTTTGAACCAAGGAGGCATCATGATATTCATCATAGGTCGGCGAAGTTCTATGGTACCTTGGCGAGTCATGGTCAATGCGTGTCCTCGAGGTCCATGATCAGCCATAATCACAATCATAGTCTCATTTCTCATCTTTGGCGAGTTCAACCAGATTAAGTACTCCAGGAGCTCATCGTCGATCATGTCCAGTTTGTTCAGATCATCGTGTGAATAAGTTCCTTGCAAGGTAAAGCTCAGTTTTGGCTTTTCTGAGTATGTTTCCCAAAATTCTTGAACATACGTTTGGGTCATCTGGAATCACGACATAAATAGAATAGATTGAAGCAATAATGCTGGAATTTTATTTCTCGAAAAATAGATAACGATAGTCTGTAGCTTCGGGACTTTTTATTTTAATGAAATTTTATTTTTCTCATTAACGGCGATTTTAAGAATGCTCGGGTTTATGTTCCTCAAGTTTCGAGACTTTAATCACTTTAATGGGCTCAAAAATCTCTTTTAAACTTGATACAAGTTTTTATCCCGAGCAAAAAAAAATTAAACACAGAGCATTGCATTTGTGGGAGCATTTTTATATTAAATTTTACGCGAAAACGGGTGTGCACATGTTACGGATTTATTCTACTGCATTAAAAGTGTATGAATAATGGGATTTTTTT